GGGGGCAACACCGAGGGTTGCGATCCCGTTGCCGGTCCCGGTCCGGTACGGGGGCGACACTGAGGGTTGCGATCCGTTGCTGGACACGGAAAAAGACAAAAAGGAAAGAAAAAAAAATTAGTGGAAAAAATGGAATTGAAAGATAATGTGAATCTTTTCATAACTTTTTGAAGTGCCCGTATTGACAGAACAACATGATGAACAAAATGGTCTGTTCGACATACAGAGCACTGCACCCAAAATCAATTGCAATGTATATGCACTTTAAGTCTATACGAAAGATTTACTGAAATTCTTGGGTACAAAACAAGTCCTATCCAATCTCTCATGGCTGAAATATTTCTGATTATGTTCTCTATCTAAAATATCTTTAAGATAAATATATTGTAAAATATATTTTAAAAATCCCCAAATATTTTAAATAAGAAATGTATTTCTAAATAATCCATATATCAAAGGAGAATATACAAAAGAAATTTAAACATTCTTTAAAATGTATACCATAAAAGTATTACACACAAAAAAACGTGTTAGGTCTTGCTGAAAGAAAATCAAAGCCATTTTATGATGTTAAGGGAAAATTGAAAACCAGCTTTAATTTTTTAAGGTAATTGAAGGTAGGAAATAATGTAGGAAAGAGCAAAAATTAATATTGTCATTTTCTTTATCATAATCTTGAAAATAAACAAAGCTGAAGTTATCTATTTGGGAACACTAATAAAATTTATAAACCTCTTAGAGTATGCTCAAGGTAGGAAAAATTTTGAAGGCAAACACTAGCAATATCACAGGAACTACACATAATAATAATAACAAAATTAATGTTTAGATGAAATAGAAATATTTTTATAAAAAGACACATTCAGGGCCAGCCCGGTGGCGCACTGGATAGTGCGCCGCTTGGGAAGCGCGGCGGCGCTCCCGCCGAGGGTTCGGATCCCACATACAGACCGGTAAAAAAAAAAAAAGACACATTCAAAGCTGATTTATTAAAAATTTAAATATCTGCATAGAAGTGCAGTTTAAAAAGCAATCGTAATTAAAATGTGTTTTCCTAGAGAAAACTCTAGGTCTGAAAACTTCCTCATTGAAATCTGGGAAACATTTAGGGAGGTGTAACATCAATCTTATGCAAGAAAATTCCTTTTACAAGGTCAGCAAAAACTAACGACAAACATGGCAGGGATTATTCAGCCTGAAAAAAGAAGAAAATGCTGTAATATGTTGTGACGTGGATGAAACTTGAGGACATGATGCTAAGTGAAATAAACCAGTCATGAAAGGACAAATAGTGATTCCACTTACACGAGGTATCTAAAGAAGTCAAACTACTTGATTATATTCAACACAATTGGCTGATTTGTAAACAAACACACAGGACCCACACGTATCTTTAAATCCTAGAAATGGATTTGAAGTTTCCTAATCTGAGGAAAGATATTAACAAAATCATGCCTGCCCGTCAACATAATTAATTTTGAATTAATGTAATCTTCCCTTCTTTTATTATGAATAAGTTAAGGATATTCACTGTTAATGTTTCCAAATATTCTCATGGAAAACCTTGTCAGAAAAATATGGCTACAAAAAAAAAAGTAAATTTTAAGAAGAAACCTTTATCAGATGATAAATTTATTACATACAGTTGTCCCTTTTTATCTGTGGGGGATAGATTCCAAGACTACTGCAGTGGATGTCTGAAACCACAGATGGTACCAAATCCTATATATAAACACTTTTTTTCTATACATACATAGCTATGATCAAGTTTAATTTATAAAATAGGTACACTAAGAGATTAACAATAATAATTAATAATAAAAGTGCAATTCAAATGCACTGTAATAAAGTTATGTGAATGTGGTCTTTGACTCTCTCTTACTCTCTCAATCTCCTTTAAAAAAATTTCCTCCTTCTTAATTTAAAACTTATAAGGTGACTATTTCTGGAATTTTCCATTTACTATTTTTGGACCTTGGATATCTTTTGGCCACAGATAACTGAAATTGTGGAAAGCAAAACCACAGATAAGAGGAAACTACTACACACAGAAAATCTAAAAGAATCTATAATTACCAAGTAAACTTGGAAAATCCATTGGATACAAAGTCAATATAAAATATCTCATTTCTATATAAAAAATATGAAAACTAGAATCTTTAGAAGCATACTAGAATTAAAAGCATACTAAAGTATTAGTCAGGGTTCTCCAGAGACAGCATCAATAGGATATGTTATAAATATATGAGATGGGACTTCTTAGGGGAATTAGCTGGTTCTCCGGAGACAGCATCAATAGGATATGTTATAAATATATGAGATGGGACTTCTTAGGGGAATTAGCTCGTGTGATCATGAAGGAAAGTCCCATGATAGGCCGTCTGCTAACTGGACACTGGTAGCGTGGCTGAGTCCAAGTCCAAAGGCCTCAGAACCAGGTGAGCTGATGGTGTCCTTGGTGTAAGTCCTGGAGCCCAGAAGCTGAATACCCTCAAGCTCTGATGTCCACAGACAGGAGAGAAGAGTGTGTCTCAGCTCCAGCAGATAGAGACAGAGATTTAACTTTTTTCTCTGTTTTTTGTTTTCTCTGAGCCCCCAGCAGATTGGATGGTTCCCACCCATATAGAGGCCAGATCTTTCCCACCCAGTCAGCTTAGGCTGTCATACTATGAAGGTCTGGACACACCTTCACGGGCATTTCCTAATCTAATCAAGTTGATACCTAGAATTAACCATCACACATACTGCTATATTATCACCAAATATATCAAATATATGGAAATATAAACATTAAAAAAAACCTTCTACACAGAAAATGTCAAATTAATAGAAATTTTAAAAGACTTACTTAAATTGAGTAATAAAGTTCATAAATTGAGTCAATATTATTTAAAATGTTAAAACAACCCAAATTATATTTTATATATTTTGAAGGTCTGTAATAAGTTTTATGAAGATTTTTAATGTATCATATATCTGGTAGAAGTCTTCCTTATCATTATTAAATGTCTCTGTTTATGTTAATACTTTCATTATTTTGTAAGATAAGATTTCTCATATTAGCTAAGCTTCACTAGATTTCTTTGAGTAAAATTTTTTTTCAAAGGATAAAAGCTTTTTCGTTTTTAATCTTTCTGAGTTTTTGTACTTAAAATCTTAATTTTTAGATTTTAGCCATCCTAACTGGATGCAAATATTTTCTCCCACTTTGTTGGTTGCCTTTTCACTCTGTTAATTATTTCTTTTGCTGTGCAGAAGCTTTTTACTTTGATATAATTCCGTTTATTTTTCCTTTGGTTACCCATGTTTTTGGGGTCATATTCATGAAGTCTGTGCCCAATCCTACTTCCTGGAGTGTTTCCCCTATGTTTTCTTTAAGGAGTTTTATTGTTTCATGACAAATGCTGGCAAAGTTGCAGAGAAAAAGGAGCCCTCCTACACTGTTGGTTGGACTGCAAAATGGTGCAGCCCTTATGGAAAATGGTATGGAGGTTCCTCAGACAACTACAGATAGATCTACCATATGACCCAGCTATCCCACTGCTGGGAATATACCCAGAGGAATGGAAATCATCATGCCGAAGGGATACCTGTATGCCAATGTTTATTGCAGCACTATTTACAATAGCTAAGAGTTGGAACCAGCCCAAATGCCCATCATCAGATGAGTGGGTAATAAAAATGTGGTATATCCACACAATGGAATACAACTCTGCTATAAAAAAGAATGAAATACTAATATTTGCAGCAACAAGGATGGACTTAGAGAAAAATATATTAAGTGAAACAAATCAGACACAGAAAGAGAAATACCACATTTTCTCACTTATTTGTGGTAGCTATAAATAAATAAATACACAAATGGAGGGGGAAGAAGACATAACAGTCACAACAATTCCTTGAACTTTTAAGACAAGTGAACAGATATGATGTGGTGGGGGAGGCAAAGAGGGGGGAAAGAGGAACAGGTAAAGGGACATGAAAATCAACTACATTGCATATTCAGTAGTTAAAATAACAAATAATAAAATGGGTACAGGAAAACAGAACAAAAGAAAAATAATTAACTGGTTAACATAAGGTTACTTCAGGTTATCTCTTTTCTGTAAGAATTAAAGCATAGAGAACTTCATTGTCATACCTATTAAAGTTTAAAACTGAAGTTGGGAAATGGGCATCTTTCTTTCTCCTGACTTCTGGGAATGTCAGACCACAGCCTAAGTGACTCCATTCTGATTTTTAGTCTGGTCTTTGTGACCGTGTTCAGGAACTTAGTCTAAAACGATGGCCCCCTGCAATTTT